TTCAGGTTGATGAAAGAGACCCTAAAAAGACCGCCTTCATCACGCTGGATGGATTGTATGAGTTCAAAGTGATGCCATTTGAACTTTGTTCCACTCCAGCAACCTTCTAGCGTCTAATGGACACAGTACTGGCAGATCTCAAGTGGCAAATATGTCTCGTATACCTGGACGATGTGGTCGTCTTCGCCTCCAACTTTAGCGACCACCTGAAAAGGCTCCGGATGGTACTGGACGCAATTAAGCCATCAGGGCTGACACTGAAGCAAGAAAAATGCCATTTTGCCTATGAAGAACTACAGTTCCTTGGCCATGTTATAAGCAAAAATGGCGTAAGACCAGATCCCGAGAAGACAGCCACTATCGTACAGTTTCCTCAACCGCAAGATAAGAGAGCAGTGCGCCGAATCTTAGGACTGTGCGCCTATTACCGACGCTTCGTCAAGAACTTCTCACACATTGCTGCCCCTTTGACGCAGCTCACCAAGTCGGACGCCCCTTTCGAATGGAAAGCTGAGCAACGTGAGGCATTCAAAGCACTTCAACAACGTTTACAGTCGCCGCCTGTGCTGGGTCACTTTGATGAAAATGCCGAAACTGAGATACATACAGACGCCAGCAGCATCGGCTTAGGTGCCGTTCTCGTTCAGAAGCACAAGGGCTGCGAGCACGTCATCGCGTATGCAAGCCGCTCACTGTCGAAAGCGGGAGTGAACTATTCCACGTCTGAGAAGGAGTGTCTTGCGATAGTATGGGCCACCTCGAAATTCCGCCCATACTTATATGGCAGACCCTTCAAGGTCGTAACGGACCATCATGCGTTGTGCTGGTTGGCCAGTTTGAAAGACCCTTCTGGCCGCCTCGCTCGATGGAGCCTACGGCTTCAGGAGTTCGACGTGAAGGTAGTCTACACATCTGGTCGTAAGCACTTCGACGCAGACTGCCTCTCAAGAGCCCCTGTCGGCGCACCACCAAGCCATGAAGACGACGATGCCTTTCTTGGGCCTATCAGCAGCAGCACCTTTGCATTACAGCAGCGCTCAGACCGGATCCTACAACAGTTGATCAACTACATCGAAGGAAAGACCCTCATACCGCCTGCACTGTTCAAGCATGGGATATCCTCCTTCTGTGTGCAAAACGGGGTGGTAGGTTAAGAACTTCGCACCGAATAAGGCAGCTTACCTTCTTGTTGTCCCAAGCAGCCTCAGAGAAGAAATTTTACAAGCGTTACATGACGAACCCACTGCAGGCCACCTCGGTTTTACACGCACACTCCACAGAATTCAAGAACGATACTACTGGCCCCGCCTCTCCTCAGATGTTGCGCGGTACGTCAAGAGTTGCCGCGAATGTCAGCGCCAGAAGAGACCTCCAACAAAACCAGCTGGATTTCTCAAGCCAATTGAACCCCCGTCGAGACCATTCCAACAGATTGGTATGGACCTGCTTGGACCTTTCTCCACGTCAACATCCGGTAACAAGTGGATAATAGTGGCCACTGATTACCTTACTCGATACGCTGAGGCTAAGGCCCTCCCGAACGGAACAGCCGTAGAAGTTGTCAAATTTTTTGTCGAATCAATTCTCCTCCGTCATGGCGCACCTGAGGTACTAATAACAGACAGGGGAACAGCGTTTATGGCTGATCTTACTCAGGCAATCTCACATTACAGTCATACAGATCACCAAAGAACAACTGCGTACCATCCGCAGACAAATGGTCTCACGGAACGCTTGAACAAGACCATTGCCGATATGCTCGCTATGTACGTGGACACAGAACACAAGACCTGGGACTTAATTCTGCCTTACGTGGTCTTCGCCTACAACACCGCGGTGCAGGAGACCACTAAAATGACACCATATAATCTCGTCTATTGCAGGGATGCCGTTACTACCCTGGACACCATGCTACCTAATGTCATCGATGAAAACAACAACCTAGACGTAGCCGCCTACCTTCAGCGCGCAGAAGAAGTCCGGCAGCTTGCTCGTCTGCGCATAAAAGACCAACAGCGAAACGACGCAAGACGCTACAACCTGCGGAGACGCGATTTAACATACAGGCCAGGTGACAAAGTCTGGGTTTGGACGCCCGTTCGCCGCTGAGGATTAAGCGAAAAACTCATGCGCCGTTATTTCGGCCCATATAAAGTCATCTGTCAAGTGGGTGAAGTGGACTATGAAGTGGTCCATGATGGGGCTAGCTCATCCCAACGACGCCGCACACGACAAGAAGTGGTACACGTCGCCCGTTTGAAGCCCTATCATACGCGCTAAAGGAGGCTCCCTGTTTGCATCTCTTGTTTTGTCTATGTGTGCGTGATTCGTGCTTATTTGTCATTTACTTTCGCACAGGCTCTCCTTTTGTTTTGGTTAATATTTTAAACAAAGCATCGGGTCGATGCTTACGTTGAGGAGGGGAGCAATGCTGCGACGCACATGGTGGATAGTGTTGCGCACGCCGATACTGCCAGCACGCGGCCTTATCGTGGTCCAGGATGCACCGCGACTCACCTGCGAAGATCATGGCCCGCACGTCGACCATTCGTTGATAACGAGATAGCGCCAGACGCTACGGCGACTGTATCTCGGATGGTGAACGCGCCTTGCCTTCCAGTGGAACATTTCTGTCACCCGACGGCCGTCGAACGCGCCTTGCGTTCCAGTGGGACATTTCTGTTACTCGACGGCCGTCGAACGCGCTGTTTGCCTCCCGCTAAGCCGGTGTGTCTGTTTTCCTTTAGTGGGTGCAAGTCCGCCAAATAAACGTATCTCCTTCTATTTCTACTAACCTCCCGGTCTCCTGTCTTCGGGCTACCCTCACTCTTACGTGACATCATACGCCAGTATAAAACCGCGCTTGGGACATGCACTTTCTTGCGTTTTTGTCTTTCTTGTGCACTGATTGTGAAGAGCACTTTCCTATTAAAAAGAGGGTCCCAGGTGCTCAAACTCCTGAGCACAGAATGAACTGGAGTCGATTCGTGGGTTTGATTCAGGGGGCTCCTATTCCGCGTGACTTTTGTTCCAGGTTTCTTTGTATTTTTACCTTGTATATATAAACAATGTCACATCTGTGACGTAAAGACGTCTGTGAAGTCTTCGTGGACCCTGGTATAAAACACTTTTGTCCTAAAAAAGAAAGTTGTATGCACTCATATAGCAAAACGTATCAGCCAGAGCCAATTCGTGGGTTTGATTCGCAGGGCTTCTACTTTATGCATCAATTTTTCCTTGTTTCTTTTTTTGTACTCTAATCGTGTACAGTTTAACAATGTCCTATCTTTGATGAAATTACGTTTGTTTAGTCTGGTGGACTTCGGTATAAAACACTGTGCTATTAAAAACGACAGTTGTACGCGCTCAAAAGGCATAATACAACATCCACCGCAGTCGAGAGCAGGGAATAGAGCATCACAGAAGGCATTAGGCATCAGCTATGTCAAGCGCATGAATTCAAAGGCTGGCACTGTGAATGACCCTGGAAATAACTTGCTGGCAGACTTCAAACAGGTGGTAAAAAGACGGTTTCAAGAGGTGTTCACTGTTTACAAGTTATTTTTTATGCTACTACCAAATTCTACATTTTTTAAACATAGCTCTTCTACACATATCTCCACAGAGCATAAAGTATGTTACACAAACTTAACAAGACCGCAACTAAGTATTCAAAGGTGTTTTTTTTTTCTTTTTTATGCATATTTGAGGAGATCACAATGCATTCAGAAAGTTATCTGTAAGCCATGAGTTTCGCGGTGATGCACTCATTTACCACAATAGCTTTAAAGAGCTCCTTTTGCAGACATCGCAGCGTTGCTTTCAACGACCGGGTCTTTGGTTGTGAGGAGAAAATATTCATCTTTAGCGTGACTGAAGAATCGAGAAAGATGCAAATAAATGAATAAATGTTCTGGGTCAACGTGGTAATCTAACCCAGGTTTTACGAGGCAAGTATGCAGGTGTTCTGCTACACATTCATGCACCTGCTTGGATATGCAGCTAAAACAACAACCTCTACTTCTCAATGCCGAGAAAACCACGTTCATTTTGTACAGGCACACTCCTCCTGTTTAGAGGCTTCACAATACAACATGTAATGTGAGATATTATAGCGTGGTATAAGCCTACACTGCCATCGGGGTGAGAACGTGTGATCATCCTAACGACTACGTTTTTTTAACGGCCGAACCTTTTAAAAACGGCACACACGTTGCGATACGTATATCCTAAAGACCACGTAGTGGATGCGTAGCAAATTCAAAAACAGTTCTCACTCATAACTGGTCATTTTGAAATTATGCCACATATCACACACCATGCAGCCATATGCGAAAGCTTCACTGAAACATGTCAGTTTCAACATTTATTGATACAGTTCAGTAATTCCTAATTTAAACTTCCGCAGTATTATCAAACAATAGAAGTACGCACTAAATGGTTGAAGTAAGCCCTACGGAAAGGATATTGCTATCACGTTCAACTCTCAGGGGGAAACTTGAGAGTGTTCCAATATTTTTACACATGCTTGGTTGTGAAAGTGGTGGTTGAAATGCGATGACAGAACCAATAATGACTGTAAAAGCTTTTAGCTTTCTAAGGATGGTTAGGGGACAGAAGCTCTGACCAGTCGAGCTGTGTTAGGCTGTAGTATTAGGAATTTTTTCTGGAAGTTGAGGAACAATTACGTTAGGCAATAACGTCTTTAATAATAACGTCAATTCTACTCTAATCAAAAAGTGACGCCTGCGTTGTACGCGGAAAGCGGATGGGAGCATAATAGGGGGGAGGGGGTCAAATTGCGGAAACATTTTGCATTGTTGATTCATAAAATATTAGCCTATGTTATCCTGAGAAATAAAAAAAATTGGGACTAACCTGAACTGCTGTACCTCCACTTAATGCACAATGTTTTTTGCGCACCTTGCCCACTTGCAGGCGTCGACAAAATAAATGACCACTTCCAAAAACATAACGAAACGCTTTTCGTATATGCTTACGTGCAGTGCCGACGGCTTGCAACTCCTCTTCGCTACAGTCGGAGACGACACAGATGCCCAAGCGGAAGCCCGGAACACGTGGATCGTTCAGGAATTTTATCAGATTTGCAGCCTGCGGAAAAACCAGGGTCTATGTTTATAATGCGATAATACTCTATGTTCTATGTAAATTCTTCATCAGAACAGACTGTGTATTGTCATACGTTTTAAAGGCGATAGTCTTTCTTGAGATTGATTGATTGATTTGTGGGGTTTAACGTCCCAAAACCACCATATGATTATGAGAGACGCCGTAGTGGAGGGCTCCAGAAATTTCAACCACCTGGGGTTCTTTAACGTGCACCCAAATCTGCGCACACGGGCCTACAACATTTCCGCCTCCATCGGAAATGCAGCCGCCGCAGCCGGGATTTCAATCCGCGACCTGCGGGTCAGCAGCCGAGTACCTTAGCCACTATACCACCGCGGCGGGGCAGTCTTTCTTAAGATTCAACTTAAAAATTTTGGTCTGCCTGTCGGTCGACCGAGACGGCTCAAGTACGACCACATCTACAGGGCCCGTCATATCCTTCAGGTTTCTATGTTCATACTTGTGTGATTGTCGATTAAAAAGAAAATATTGCGCATATATGAAGCGCAATATCAACACTTCAATATTCTGCAATGTGTTTATTCAAACTAGAAAAGGCATACATAAGTATGTCTAGGAACTGTAGCGTTTATTGCGCTGCGTTGACAATGCGACACTACACAGGAAAGGCAACTTTCTGAGACGACACGGTGCTGCCACGTACCTTAAAATCTACAAAATACAACCTCCAAGATAGTGCGCGCTCGCCAAAACGGAGGTCATCCTTCCGTTTTCTGAGATTACTTCCGGATGACGCTGATGTCTCATGCAGCACCTCCAGAATCTCATTCACCGAATTTCTCACGCAAAGCATCAAATAAATGTTTCATTCTATTCACTTTTTCCAGGCAGAAAAGTGACGACAGTTGCAGTCGGACATGCAGATACGGGGACAAATTTTTATGTTGATGCATGCGCATGTCAACCCTAAAAACTGTAGCCAATGCTCAGAGCAGGTCACGCTGCAGTTTGAAAAGCTTTGCGATAACTTGCGGTCATTCTGTCAAGAGTCCGCAGAGGACGCGAATAGTCTCCAACTTACGCGGTCACCAGCGAAAACTTAACTTGGATAGCTCGTGCAAGTCACATGTATAAAAGTCCACGAGCTGTACTTCTCGGCAGATTACTCGACGGCCGACGACTGTTTACGCCGCAATAAGTCTGCAGTCTAAATTGCTAGTAATGAATCATTCATTTTCTGGACCCAGGTTCACGCAAATCTTTAATCTCAAACAAGCCGACTCCTGCCAGCGTGAAAATTCCCACCACGTGACATTTGGTGAAGGTGCTGCTTTGTACATAATCAGGACGTCCTTGCGAAGAGCTACCCCAAGCCCTAGCCGCGAAGAAAACGATGCTAAGGGCACCCTGGTCGTCTAACTAGCTGCAATAGGAAGGAACTACAGCCCGTGTATGGGCTTCCTTCCGCACGACGCCATGCAAATCAAGACACGGACCTCGACCGCAACAACAATGGCAGCCCATGTGTCGCTTGTACTCATTCCTCTTCGGCAGCCTAGGGAGGCTCACGACTCCAAGACCAAGAAATTTGACCTAAAACATACGACGTGTCTTCGCCTCTAACAACTAGAAACCCAAAAGCAAGCTGCGCTATGTATACCTCTGCTTCGATTATGCGGCGAGAAGCTGGTTCAGAATCCACAGTCCTATCTTCGAACCTCGGATATTTTCCCAGCGCATTCCTAGGCACACTCACAAGCGCCGTACGCGTTGAAATACACCCTTTTATTGCAAAGCAACATTATGTACATTCTCCGCTACTTCTTGTCGTGAGGGTCGATGGAGCCGTCATGCTCCGTTTGCGTGTGAAACACACATGGTTTCGAGAATGTTTCCGATACTCTTTTAAAAGTGCAGAAAGAAGGTATCTCCCTGCAAACTGTGGCGTTACCATTACTGTGGCAGAGGGCGTCTCAAGAAGTGTACAAACAATTATTATGGCAGGGATTAGGAAAATTAAAACAATTCACTTCTTAATCAGTGGCAATCAGCGATCAAGTCAAATGGTCGAATTCAAGTTCTTCCTGCGAGTAGTTTAAAGCCGTTCTGAAAATTCTGAAGGACTGCCATGGTAAACATGGTAGAAGGAAGAAATGTGGCTAATTTAGCTTGTCAACCCAAAACCAACGCACCAAAGATCGCATCTTCTGCTCACTTTTGAAACACCCTTAATGAGAAAGCTGTTTCACTCCTCCTTGGGGAAAGATACGCGAGCAATGTGATAAACCACCAATTTAGATACCTGCATCGTTTCTTGGCAACACCTGCCTGCCTCATGGTCCATTTACCTTCGCTATCAGACGGTGGAACCTGAACTTTGCAACGTTTAACGCTATAACCTTATGAATTGAGGGAAGTCTAGCTGTATTATTCTAGAAGCTAGAGGGGGTGAAATGGGATATAATAGGGCACAGTGAGGTTAGGAGGACAGATGAGACCTATACGGTGCTACAGAATGGGCAAGTCCTTTGCTACCAGGGCTTGGTTGACAGAAGAAAACTGAGAGTGGGGTTCCTAATTCACAGAAACATAGCTGGCAACATAGAGGAATACTATAACATTAATGAAAGGGTGGTAGGTCTATGTAATTAACTTGAATAAAAGACACAAGATGAAGGTGGTACAGGTTTATGCGCCTACATTCAGCCATGAAGACGCTTCAGTTGAAAGCTTCTATGAAGACGTCGAATGGGCAAAGAGTAAGGTAAAAACACGGTATACTATACTGATGGGAGACTTTAATGCAAAGGTAGAAAAGAAGCAGGCTGGAGACCAGGCAGTAGGAGAGTATGGCATCGGCACTAGAAACGCAGGAGGAGAGCTACTAGTAGAAATCGCAGAACGCAATAAATAACGGTTTTTGAATACCTTCTACCGAAAACGAGGATACTGCAAGTGGACATGGAGGAGCATTAACGGCAAAAATAGAAACGAAATAGACTTTATAACGAATGCACACCCAGGCATCATGCGGGATGTGGAAGTGGTTAGCAAGGTACGATGCAGTGACCATAGAACGGTGTGGTAACGATTTCGCCTAGACTTCAAGAAGGAAAGACAAAACCTGATACGCAAGAAGCCAATCAATGAGCTAGCACTGAGAAGTAAAGTACAGGAATACAGAATTCAGAACAGGTACTCGGCTCTTATTGAGGAAAGCAACCTTAGCGTAGATACAATGAATGATAATCTGAGGAGTATCAATACGGATTGTGCAGTGGCAATCGGAAGCAGGGTAGTTAGACAGGTCAATGGCAAGCTCACCCAGGAAACGAAGAATCTCATTAAAAGCGTCAAATCATGAAAGTCTCAAGCACAACAGACAAAATAGAACTGGCAGAGCTTTCGAACTTTTATAATAGGCGTAAGTTATGCGATATAAGAAGGTATAACATGGAGAGCATTGAACACACTCTCCAAAATGGAGAAAGCGTCAAAGCAGTGAGGAGGAAACTTGGTATAGGCAAAAATCGGATGTATGCACTAAAGGGCAAAGAAGGCGAAATAACTACCAATATAGATAGGATAGTTAAAATAGCAGAGTAGTTTTACAGAGATCTTTACAGTAGCCCGAACAACCACGACCTTAATTCTATAAAAACTAGCAGTATTCTTGATGACACCCCACCAGTAATGATAGAAGCAGTAAGAAAAGCTTTAGAGAGCATGCAAAGAGGCAAAGCTGCTGGTGAGGATCAGGTAACATCAGATCTGCTGAAAGATGGAGGACAGATTGTGTTAGAAAAACTAGCCACCTGTTTACGAGGTGCCTCCTGACGGTAAGAGTACTAGAGTCTTGGAAGAATGCTAACATCATACTAATATATGAGAAAGGAGATGACAAGGACTTGAAAAATTACAGGCCGATCAGCTTGATCTGTGTAGTATACAAGCTATTTAGCAAGGTAATTGCTAACAGATTAAAGAAAACATTAGAAGCAAGATTTCAAATAGGCTACTCAACAATCGAGCACATTCATACTATCAATCAGGTAATTGAGGAATGTTGAGAATATAACCTTACACTATACATAGCCTTCATAGATTACGAGAAGGCATTTGATTCAGTTGAAATATCAGCCATCATGCAGACACTGTGGAATCATGGCGTCAATGAAGTGTATATAAACATCCTGGAATAAATCTACAGGGGATCAACTGCTACGATAGTGCTTTATAAAGAAAGCAACAGAATACCAATCAAGAGGGGTGTAAGGCAGGGGGACACTATCTCAGCAATGCTATTTACCGCGTGCTTACAGAAGGTTTTCAGAAGCCTAGAATGGGAACAGTTCGGGATAAGAGTTAATGGAGAGTACTTTTTTAACCTGCGCTTCGCCGATGAGATCGCATTGCTGAGTAACTCAGGGGACGAATTGCAACTCATGATTACAGAGTTAGACAAGTAGAGCAGAAAGGTTGGTCTTAAAATGAATCTGCAGAAAACGAAAGTATTGTACAACAACCTCGGAAAAGAGCAGCACTTCGAGTTAGGTAATAGTGCACTTCAAGTTGTAGAAGACTATGTCTACTTAGGGCAGGTAATAACCGCGGAGCCGAACCACGAGATTGAAGTAACTAGAAGAATAAGAATTGGCTGGAGCACATTTGGCAAGCACTCTCAAATTATGACAGGTAGATTGCCACTATCCCTCAAGACGAAGGTATATAACAGCTGTATCTTGCTGGTACTTAGCTATGGAGCAGAAACCGCGAGACTTACAAAAAGGGTTCAGCTTAATTTGAGGACGACGCAGCGAGCAATGGAAAAAAATTGTAGGTGTAACATTAAGAGACAAGAAGAAAACAGAGTATATTAGGAAACAAACGGGGGTTAAGGATATCCTAGTTGAAATCAAGAAGAGGAAATGGACATGGGCTGGGCATGTAGCATGTAGACGGGATAACCGCTGGTCATTAAGGGTAACTAACTGGATTCCCAGAGAAGGCAAGCGAGTTAG